GTGATGATAGTGCCTAAGAGATGGCCATGGATTTGGAAGTGTTGTGGGATAAGAGGCCCTATACCCCCAGGGACCCAAAGCAGATCCAACCTTTCACTGCTCAACAAAACACAGAGGCAAAATTCGTGAGAGAGGAAAGGAGAATTTTCTACAGAGTGGTTACACCAGGAAGACGTGTAAAAATATCTTTAACTGGTCAGTCGACTTACAGATGTTTTACTGGGGAAGGAAGAGGGTGAGGGCTAGTGGCAATATACAGAAAAGCATAGGTCAGGTCAATTTTTAGCTAGGGGATACAAACAAGCTTCAAAAGGGAGTCTTGGTTCCCTGGGCAGAATAACATGCCTCATTGTTTTGAGCTTCAGGTTAACTGTCTGTGATGTCCATCTCCCTGGAGTTCCGAAGAGAGATCTCAAACAAAGAGTATCTAGCTGGGAAGGAATAAAACAAGTTGACTAACAAGATGGAGTCAGTATGGCTAAAGCATGGCCCTGGTATAGAAGATTGAAGTGAAATGGAGGTCCCTGCCTCACACAAAAAATGAGTTGGCATTTGCTAAATTGTGTTCTGAAGAACATAAAAGACTTTGCACTAATAATGCTTTATTAAGGTTCTTAATATTTTGCACTAATAATGCTTTATTAATATTCCTTGCATCAAAGTAACCTGTTTACTGTGTTTAACCAAGCATTCCCTGGACCCTTGAATTACTAAACCTTTTTTAATGTAACATCTAAAGTAATGCTTTTCCAAATTCATTTTAGTGACTCTGTGTTGTCTGTCATATGCTGAAACTCTTCTATTAATAAATGAAGTAAATAATTATCAGAGCATGTGATTAATTTTTTAATGCATTTCAATATGTAAAGATCATTTGCTGAACCAGTAAGTGGCATGGTGGTTAAGGTAACTGGATTCCCACATGGCCAATCATGGTTTAAGTCCTGGACCTCATGGCTTGAAACTCATGCCAGGCACATGTGTGTGCATGCCCAAAATCCCAAGAGGAGAAGACTGCTGCAAGGCCATCCCCCTGTAGGGGAGGATTTCTCACCTTCCCTCTCTCTGTCTCTTTCCTTTCTAGTAAGTGCATGCACCCTATGGAAAAAAACTAAAATTAATAAATAAAAAAGATTATTTGACAATATAAAGTATGTATTAGAGTACCATATACTTTAAAAAGTTGGAAAGGGTATGTTTCATTAGGTTAATAAGTTAGGTTTACCTTACTTAGCTATGAAGGTAAACAAAAAGTAACACTGCTGTGTTAGGTGATTAGAGTCAGAATTTAACTACTAAAATGATTATCTTACACTGTATCGATATGCCTCATTTTGACCAGTAAGCAGCCTTCTGTTAAAACTAATTACATTCTTGCTGCAGAAAAGTCGTCGAGAAATAAAGGTTCTAATGTTAATCGTACAAAGAAAATTGTCAGCACTAATCTTACCAACTAAGACTGGAAAGCTTTTTTTTTTAATAGCATGCCCAAATAATACACCTAATAAGGATGCAGAACCTTTTGAACAAAATTTAAATGAACAGAGTCTGTTTTACAGAGCCAGAGAACTACAATTAGATTACTAACATATCTTATTTCTTCTGTTTAATACACATACACTATTATTGACATGGAAGTGCTCAGTAGGTTTCAGAACTAGTAATCCCTTCAAAACCATTTTTTGTGTATGTGTACATACTTGTATTTTCATGCATCTGACTTTAAAATCTGTCCAGCACCCAAGGTGTTATCATAATTTATCAACCAAAACAATAGATCCAGCTGACTGCAGTTTGAGTCCCAGACCTGGCAGCTTAAAAATCATGCTGGGCACCTGTGCACATGTGCCTAAAATCCTAAGAGGAGAATGGAGGAGAAGGAACTGTGGTGTGGTTATCCCCTTGGGGCGTGATTTCTCACCTTCCCTTTCTCTGTCTCTTTCTGTCTGGCAAGTATACACACCCTATGGCAAAAACCTGAAAAAAAAGAGGAACAAATATTAATCATTTTAAAAGAATTCACTGCACCCCTACATATAGTATACCAGTTTTGAGTGTTTCATTTTTACAAATATTAAATTTATTATTAAACTTAATAATAAAAATATAGATACATCTATATAGCATTTATTATGTGCTGTGCATAGTTCTAAGCACTTTATAAAAACTGATTCCTTAGTATGAGACAAAATGATTGCTATACTTTTACAGGTATAAAAACTGAGACATATAAAGTTGGGTACCCATTGTCACCCAACTGATAAGTTATAGAACTGAGATTTAAATCAGTCTGGCTTCAAAGACTAACCACTCTGCCATATGTAACACTACTATTGTCATTTATACTATAAATTGTTGTGTCTAAAAGAGTAATTTTATTATATTTATATATTTCAGTATATTCCTTAGGAATACCAAAATTTTAGCAAAGCCCAACAGTCACCTCATTGACCCTTCCAAAACCATAAAAATGATTCACTTTCTAAAGATGAATATAAAAAGAAATAAGGTAAAATTCTATTTTTTATAACACTGGTCCTATACCTAAGCATGTGATATGTAGAATGAAGTTGATTGTCTGTCCTCATGACCTAAAGGACCTTTACACTAGTCTAAATCCAAATCAAATGACCCTCCATAACCACCACAAACTATGGCAGAGATTATGGCCTCAAATTGTATCCTTAAGAAGAAGCAATAGGAACCAGCAGTTGGTGCAATGGCTATGTCGCTGGACTCCCCTGTAGTCGACTGTGGTTTGAGTCCCAGACCTGGTGGCTTAAACTCATGTGAGGCATGTGTGCGTGCATGCCCAAGATCCCGAGAGGAGAATGGAGGAGAAGGGATTGCAGCATTGCCATCCCCCTGGGGGATGATTTCTTGCTTTTTGTCTCTCTGTCTCTCTCTCTCTTTCTGGTGAGCACACAAGTCCTGTAACAAAGACCTCTCAAAAAAAAAAGAAGAAAAAGCAATAAATAAGATAATATCAGGAAGCTGACCTGCACTTAGAGATAGGTCATGCTATTCTTGTATTGGGCATAAGCCATTTCACAGATAGAACACCAACCTCAGATGAGGTTACTCCGCAATGATAATAAAGTAAGACAGGGACCAGCAGTTAGCGTAATGGCTATGCGCTGGACTCCCATGTAGTCAACTGCGGTTCAAGTCCTGAACCCGGCGGCTTAAACTCACGCCGGGCGCATGTGTGTGCATGTCCAAGATCCCAAGGAGAATGGAGGAGAAGGGATTGCAGCATGGCCATCCCCCCTGGGGGGTGATTTCTTGCTTTCTATCTCTCTGTCTCTCTCTGTCTTTCTGGCGAGTGCATGTGCCCTATAGCAAAAATCTCTCAAAAAAATAGATAAATAAATAAAATAAAATAAGACAAAGCAAGGCCAGTTAATTTTGTCTAAGCGCAGACAAAAACAGGGTTGTTGTGCAACTCACCAGATATCAAACCCACTCCCTCACTCCAGGCTAAGATTAATGACTACAAGTCCTTTACCAATTATAGCCTTGGCCTGTTCTAGTCTCCTTTCCTAACAGATAAAGTTTATTGAGCTACCACTCATAAAATTGGCCCCTTTCTGTCAGCATCAAATTTAGAGGAATCTGCAATTTCCTTAGCCCTTCCACTAAATCTCACAACTTAAACCTAAATTCTGTATATGCCCTTCCTAACACACACTTAACCATACATTCCATAGTTCCCAGCACCCTACTATGATGAGGAACAAACTCAACCTGTTCAACTTATAGGTGTGTCCCTACTTTCATCTGGAAGCCACTGATATGAGAGCTACAGAAAAAGGGAGCTGAACTGCCATCAGAACAAACCCAAAAGTATTTCGTCTGTTCTATCTCATAGAGGCAAGATAAAAGGATAGGGAGAACTAAAAGATTCCTGAACCTCCTCTATGAAGCATCAGGAGAGATAACCCCATAAAATGCACAATAACCGTAGTCACCATTAAAAGGGGCCTAATTTTTGTGTGTGAGAGAGACTTGGGGCAGACAGGAATTTCATAGAGGTCAAGATTAATGGTGGTGAAAAGTGTAGGTATACATTGGAAGTATCTCCTGACTTATGTTACCTTTAAATAGTAAATTGTCTTTC